GTGTGTGGTGTGGTGTGTGTGTGTGTGTGTGTGGGTGGTGGTGTGTGTGGGTGTGTGTTGTGTGTGTGGTGTGTGTGTGTGGTGTGTGTGTGTGTGTGTGTGTGTGTGGGTGTGTGTGTGTGTGTGGTGGGGTGTGTGTGTGTGGTGTGTGTGTGGTGTGTGGTGTGTGTGTGTGTGTGGTGTGTGTGTGTGTGTGTGTGTGTGGTGTGTGTGTGTGGGGGTGTGTGTGTGTGTGTGTGTGTGTGTGTGTGTGTGTGTGTGTGTGTGTGTGGTGTGTGTGTGTGTGTGTGTGTGTGTGCTTTTATGACGACAAAAACACGAAGCTCGCAGAACTTGCACGGTGTATGACTGGTGACCGACTCTTCTATATGTCTGGCTCTTCATTCCACTTCGGCACCCTAAACACTTTAAATCAGTACATAAAACACGAGCATGCAAACCAATAATAAACTTTTCACTGGACAGTACTAACTGCCGTTTTGACTTGGCAACAACAAACAATTCTTTAGCCGTGCAGAAGATATCATTAGCACCACACACTGTGAATAACACAAACAACACGGCAAAGTACAACACTGCATGCCAACCACCCAATTCCGCGCTATTAATCAGTGTCTTGTTCCTTGTCCAAGTGATTTACTTATAATGCTGCTCCAAAGAGATAGTTCAGTAGTTTGATTCATTTCTTTGTTTAGAAGTCGTTTGTGGTCATGACTGAATAATGCACTCGGAATGTTGAATTTTATTGCTGTGTGTAGATGATAAAATTGCAGTGTTTTGTGTAAGCCTTCGGCGCACTAGGAGAGGAGGAGAGTATTGTGGTCGGGCTGTACGTGATTCCTTGGAGCCCCCTCCGTGAGGTGATCTGTGAGACGGAAAAAATGTTGTAGTTACACCATTGTAGCATGCGGAGCCTTGTAGCAACACCTGGCAGCGGTCAACAGAAGGGTAAAAATGATCACATATCGAAATCGGTACGTTCCAACGCTTTATGAAGTCAATGGGTGTGCGTATAAACAGTGTCCCCTTGCCGGATGTTTCACTAGTGCAATTTTTAGATTGGTAGTCGTGACGGATTACGGCGACTCGCGATGGGAAGGCGCAATGACGTAATCTCTCTTGCTCGGAATGCTGCAACTGCTAAACCCGTTCAGAGATTCAACTGGTCAGCCAACTAAATTGCATTGGTAAGACGTTATGGTTAGCAGCTGAAGGCATTTCGCCCCATTCTGGTGTCCCCAGAGGCTTTAAGTCTAGTGATAACCCACAGGACCGGACGGAGACCCTCAGAAGGATGCATCACGACCGGTCCCCTCCTCGATGCGGCTGGCCCTCTAACTGAGACCAGCACGGATCGGCGCAGGGGCCTTCGCAGATGCAAACAGACTTTTTACTGGCACAGGAAGTCCAATAACTGGCATCGAGATACTAATTCGCCTCATCGGTCCGTGGTTGATATGGTGCAGAGGATCCCTCGTCCGGTTCTGGCGTCCCTGGCTGGCACAGGCCTTCCACTGTCTCATTGTACATGAGAATCCCCTTTTGTCATTTCTCATGAATCCTTTCACTGTCAGCAGGGTCCAGACCAGCACAACAGGTATGTGACATACTGGAGCCAATAATCGTCCCTATGCAGCAGATGTGCTCCCGGTTGGGGCCCATTGGCGACACATGGTCTCTAGGCTAGGAACTGTTGCTGTTAGTGGCTGTTGCTGTTGCTGTTGTTGCTGGTTAGTTGCTGGACACTGACCAGCAATATGGGTCCTTCATTGTTTCAGGTGCCCCGACGAATGTAGGATGCCTTCTAATTGGCATTTAGAGATTTTGGCCTTGTCTCTGCTCGGAAAATAACCGCTACGCCCCAGAATAGCACGGAACGGGCTGTTTGATATGGCTGTTCTCAGTCAGTTGCTTCAAATAGAGACACAGTCGCACTGGTCTCCGATCAGTGCTAGAGCCAATCTTACATTTCAGGGTCCGGCCTTCAGGCTGTGGTTCCCCCATACGACCTCTGGCCTACCCTTCGGACCCTTTAATCGGGCTCTTGATTTTTGGCCCCAAGGGACCAAAAAAGGACCTTCGGAACCCATGGGGCCCTTGGAACCTAAGGGGAAGGGGGGGGGGGGGGGGGGATCGTGCCTAATTCGGTTCCCCGCGAAAATAAAGCTTCGGGGGCCATTTTGAATGCCCCTGGAATCTCGCATCATCTTGAATGAATGTTTGGGCGGCTTGTGGTGTTCCAATTTAAACTGGGGCTCATGAAAATGAATGTTATGATGCCCCGCAACCAAGGCTCTTGCTGCCTTTTCACCGAATGAGCCGAACCAGGATTTCAACAGTGTAAGGCAGGGCAATTGTAGTGCCGCTGTATTTCGGTGCCCGTTGAAAGGGAAGTTTTGGACTGCCTTTAATTGTTCTTGAGAGGCACGGGCATTGTGATGACGCGTCGTAAAGCCCCAATGACAACGGAGGCTGTTGGTGCCTGTTTCCTTGAACAGGGTGCCCCTTCCTGAACGGGTGCGCGATTCATAATCTGTCGCAAAGTGAAAGACACGCCGATTGTAAATGGCGCGCGGGATTTGGTGGGGCTCCGTTTAAAATTATGGTTTTGTGACTTTGTAAATGGCCCGCTTTGATTTAAAGATACCCATTGTAATGAAGATGTAATGTCGCCATCGCAAGGGACGGTTTTTTGCGCCTCCTTCGCACCATCGGGTTCCGATCCAGGATTGAATCAGGGCGGAAGCTACAACATAGTTATGCCCGTGGAATTAACCTGGCTCTTTCAGAATGACAAAGGCGCCTTTCTGCTACTCTCTGGAAACTGGGGTGTCTATCTTGAAAATAACGGTTATGTTGGCCGCCGAAATGAAGGATTTGGTGCTCCGCTCACCGTAACGGGCCGACGCAGGATTTTCGTCGAGACCAGCGGTAACGGAACGGTCGTGGTGCCCCTGCAATTTGGTGTCTGATAAACATATAGGCTTATGTGTCTTCCAAAATGAGAGTATTGTTGCCGCTTTGCGGATGAGATGTGGTGCCTGCTTCGGGGCGCCCAAACCTCCTTGGGCCCAATGGGGAGAGGAATGACTCCATGACCCTTCCCCTCTGGACCCGCCCCTGCTTCATGGTGCCTCAGGAAGGGTGTGTCACTGGAAAATAAAAGCTAAGATACCCGGTAATGAAGTTTTTTGGTGCTCTCCCGTGGAACAGGCAGATCGAGAATTTTGCAAGGGTGAAAGGCATAGATATTTTGATGTCCACGTATTTTTAACGCTGGTTAGAACCAAAGCTTTGGGAAACTCGAATTGCCCATTTAGATAGAGGGCTCTTTAAAATAAAGCTTATGGTGACGCGAAATGAAAGTTATGGTGCTCCAAACTGACCATTTCAGTGCCAGCTAGCCCAGGGGGCGAATCCAGGATTTCGTCAGGGTAGGAGGCGCAACACTGCTGTATCCCTGAAATTTGGTGCCCTCATAAAATAAAGGGGTTTGGGTCGGTTATGGTGTACCCGGATCTCAGTGCTTATCGGAAATAAGTATTTGTGGTCATTTGAGGTGCCCGTGAAATTTTTGGGGTCTTTTGAAAATAAAAGCTATGTGGATAAGAAATAAAGATTTTGCTGCCCCTTCACCATGATATTTTGCTGCTCCCTCACCCCAATGGAAAGGGGGCATAGCCCCATCCCACCCCCACCCCCTACCACTCTGGATGCGCCATTGGCCAAGGTCGGTTGACAAGACGCACCCCATCGCCTCATCGCTTCAAAGCGTGGGCCCGTTATGTCTTCCTAATTTGTCATTCGGCTCCTCGCGTAGGCCCCATTTATGTCACTTTGGTGTGGATCTGAATGTATACCGTGATGTGTTTATGACTGCAAAACCCGACTCTATGTTCCGGAAAGCGTTGTTCGTACATGCTATGTAGCTGGTTTCTCCTTCGCATGAACCATGTGTACTGGGCCATGCTGCCCCTAAACTCTCCCCCACGCAGGCTCTAAGCGCATGTTTCCTTCAAGTCAACAGGTATCCACCAGCGGTTCAGGTACGCACGCAAACAGGGCGCGCATGGCATTGTTGCTACAATCGCCCGCTGCTAGAACGCCTATTGCATACTGCTATCGCTCATCCTTTCCCAAGAGCAATAGGGCCCCGTCGAAAGTGCTCTCTGTTGCCT